ATTGAAAAAAATCTCCTGCATGAAAAAATGCCTATTGGTGCTTAGTAGAAGCATGTCGAATTTGATGAGAATATCTAGAACAGTATTGAAGATATGATGAGAAAACGATTTATTTCTTAAAATTTTAACACACTATAGCTCGGAAGTTAAGAGGTAGGGTATATGTTCATATAAACTGTTCTTCTTAAAATGTGCTAAGAAACCACTATTCTATATTTCTGGCCATCAATTACATTACACCCTGTATAGTAGTTGAAATCTACAAGAACATAGAGAATACTTTGTGAGACCAGAAAAAAGTGTATTCGTTGTTGAATCGACAAATAACCATAATAATCAAATACGACTCATATAATTTCTACCAATATTTAATTTTCTATCGAAATTCAATCCTTGTTGAGTAATCTACTGCAGGTAATAATGCAAATACAAGGTTCATATTGAAATATAGAGATATCCGATAATTATTTCCTTGTCTACCATTTAGACTGTGTCACTGAACCATGTTCGTTGTTATATGTCATAATAATTAATATGTCATTGACAGCATTTTGATGTCAGATCAAATAACCCTGATCGAGACTGAAAATCCCATGATATCTCACCATTTTTATGAACTGTGGCAACGTCGCTTCGTTCTTAGCGATTCTCCTTGTTTTAGATGCCTTCCATGAGCGACTAGCTCTCGATGAGTGGAATATTATAATCGCTGTATTTTTTTACACCCAGTATATAGTGTACCTTGTGTTTGTGGGAAGTATTAATTACACAGGTGAAACAAGGAGACATGTCAGTAAGGATGAAAAAAGCAAAGATCAATACAAAGAAAAGACATAACCTCACAGCTAAATTAACTTATGACAGAGTGGAATAACACTAAAATCATAGGAACAGAAGACGACAATAACAAAAAATATTAAAGAATTTTTTGAAAGGAGACCATACAATTGCATCCTGTTCAGTTGATATGCGGTCCAACCTCACAAAATTTTTTACTTATGGACCGATATTGACGAATTGTTTTTCTGGAATGTGGAGGGAGGCGTCCACTTCATTTAAAAACCGAGGCCTACTAGATCACATTCAGAGGCTGAAAAATCCAGAAATCATATTGGCGATTTTTTTAGAAAAAATCTGTATGCGCCACTGTAATAATCGTCATCCTCTGAAATACAGGGTATTTCAAAAACACCTGACCCCCTTGAAAGGGTAGGTAGAACACTGCAAAATAAGTTGGGTTTGTTCAGTCAAAAAATGTCGTAACGGCATCCGTTTTCAAGATACAAGGTGTTGAAAAAATTATTTTTTTACACATTTTTCACGATTACGTCGAAACTTCTGGCAACATTGTGATGAAATTTTGTATGGATGTTTTTTGGAACCTGACACATCGCATGCATTTGTTTTCATATCTGACTCTCATAGAGGGCGCTAGTTACACGGTTCGTACCGATTAGTTTAAAACATAACATTTTTGAGGTTAGATTCTTCAACCCAAATTCGATGTGAACTCAAACTTCATTCAATTTCACACTTGAAAGATACTCTTGGTAGAACTCGATACTGTGTTCCGTTTTCGGAATATTTCGATTTGAAAATAATTGAGTAATATCTGATGCTCGTATAAAATTAATTTTATTGAGATCAATTACTTGTTTATTCAGATTCAAAAACCATAACATCATTCTTGTGCTGTGGTTATTGATTGGAAAAAGAATCACAAGTAGAAAATTGAGAAATATTTGACTAGAAACATAAAATATTGAATCAGTTAGAGTAAGTGTTCAAAATGTCCTCCGTTTTCACGAATACACGATTCGATATTTTTTTTATGATAGCATTATTTTCCAAAACGGTTAAGGATCAGCTGTAAGGTCATCTAAGTGATGTTCAATTCTGACTTGCAACTCCAGACGTGAATTTACCTCTGTAGCATACACTTTTTGCTTGATACAACGAAACTGTGTTATCCATGTTTTTAGTAAAATTTGTTTCAATGTTATTCTTGTGAAACATTGTTGAATCAATAAGTTCAGAATTAGAAATGTATTGTTTTTTTCCGTTTGCAATAAATAGGTGATGATTCTTTATAATACTCACTCTAATACATAGCTTTATACTAGCAACAGTTATCACTTCATCATTTTCAAATCGGAATATTTCGACAACGGAACACAGTATCGAATTTCACCAAGAGTACCTTTTTGGTGTGAAGTTGAATGATGTTCAAGTTCAAATCAAATTCGGATTGAAAACTCTAACCTCAAAAAAGTTATGTTTAAAACTACTAGGTACGAACCGTGTAACTAGCGCCATCTATGAGAGTCAGATAGAAAAACAAATTCATGCCATGTGTCAGATTCCAAAAAACGTCCATACAAAATTTCATTACAATGTTGCCAGTAGTTTCGTCATAATCGTAAAAAAATGTGTTAAAAAATCATTTTTTCAACACCTTGTATCTTGAAAACGGATGCAGTTACGACATTTTTTCACTGAGCAAATCCCATTTATTTTGCAGTGTTCTACCTACCCTAGCAAGGGGGTCAGGTTTTTTTGAAACACCCTGTATATCTGTACCAAGGTGGATAGAATATGGTGTAATCACAGACAGTGTTTTGTTTCTCCCAAAACGCTTGATGGCGTCACTTTTTACAGATTTCTTTCATGACAGAAAACAGAAAACGGCGCTTACACACCGCTTGCACCAGAAATAATAATATCATAAGATTCATAACATAACCTCAATTCAAATGAGATTGAATTTGAAAATACGAAACTGTAATTTTGGAGAATTTTTATCATCAGTAGCTCTACCAACCTTGAATTTTGGTTGGGATTTCGCCATCTAACGGGTAAAATGCGATCTATATTCCGCGATATTGAAAAGAATCCTTCAGTCAAGTAGGCCGTAGGTATTTGATGAAGTCGTGATTCATTTGTCACTGAGAGGGGTCTTCAACAATGATTGAAAACCACGTGACAGATTACTATGCAACCAATACATTCATGTCTCTTCAATGGGTGGAAAAGAGACGCAGCATCTAAAATGATCACTTGGCACTAAATCATTGTTGAAGACCCGGAACATGAAAAGCTATTCCTAAAAAAATCGATAATATAGATTCTGGGTTGTTCAGCATTTGGATGTGATGAGAAGGCCTTGGTTTTTAATAGAAGAGGACACCGCTTTGCTACAAAATACAACTTTTCTCCCTCCACATTAGAAAAAGTTCGTAGAAATCGCTCCATAAATAAAAGATTTTTGAGGGCCACTTCTAACGTTAATTCATCAACTTTTGTAATCGAGGGGTATGCCAATAGGAAGAACGAGAGACAATATACCCATATTTTACTCCTTCAAACATTTTCCAGATAAATTGTCACCGATAATCGATTGAATTTCTAATAGTGAATTTCAAGCTTAGTGACATTTTGGGGCAAATCATTCGATTTGTCCTCACTACTAGCAGAAAAAAATCAACCTACCTACAGACAATAATTCAACTTTCGACACGAAAAACTCCTAACTATTCCCAAGTAGAGTTCCTAAATGAACTTGACACTGCTGTTTTGACTTTTTCGTATATTAGAGTAAGGACACTAGACAAGCAGTGACAATCAAACATAACCACAAACGATTTTGAAGCAAATCATATGTTTTGCCAGACAAGGACAAGAATATGTTTTTCGCTTAGATAAAGGATACTCGCATCTTCCTTCCTCCACAAGTCCTGGGGAGAGTACATCCATATATCTTTCTCTGCCTTTGATTTTTGTATGAGTGCATAGCGTCTCCTCGAGTGGGTAAAAGGGTACGATAAATTGATAAGAAAATTATTTCTTCTCGAAATATTGAATGATAAGGGTGAAGGACCTCAATGGAGGTCGATATCAGGTTGGTATGTACATATATATGAAGTAAGTTTATCACAAAAGTTCCGAATGTGGCAAAAACTTATAAATTTCAAGCAATGACACATACTTTTATTTCGTATGGAACAATTTCACTCATACAAGAGTGGTAGGTAATAAGTAATTGATAAATGACAGGCCCAGTCAGCACATCCTTTTGTCGTTAGCTTCGGAATATGTCGAACAACTCTTTATCAAATTCCGCGGCAAAGCCTTGGAATTCTTTGCCAAAGGAAGTATTTCAGGAAACTTATAACCTTCAAAAGTTCAAAAAAAAAGTTCCTCGAAGATTATGGAGATTCCCTTTCGTGCGCTTCAATAGATAAAAAAGATGATCGAATTTGAGGTATATTCGTAGTCGAGAGCCGCCTTAAAATTACCTCCCTATTACCCATGAATTATATCACTATTTATCACAAATCAATAAATTATCTCGCATTCCCATACTTCTTCAAAGACACCTTCATTTTATTGAAATGATCTAGATTATGAAGGTCACTTGTTAATTTTAGAGCGAATTTATATATACGATCCTATTCTTCAACATCAAATCTTCCGTTCTATATCCTACCAAAAAATTTGAATACCTCGCAAAGTGGCCTGAACCTATATTCCATGCCGGCCGCATCATATTCTGTTTCCATTTTTGTAGAAATACGTTATCCGATTGAGATTCGAATAGAGTGAATTGATTATCCCTGTTCCCACAGTTGGAAACTGCACAAACTTGCATCTTTCTCCTAATTCTCTCAATTCGTTAAACCTTCGAAATTTATGCCATGTACGTCCGTGTACTGTCAGTTCCCGCTTCTTCCATCAATTTATTTGTGGTTATGTCTGATTGTCAGTGCTTCTCATAGTACTCTAATATACAAAAAACTTCAAAACAGCAGTGCCAAGTACATTCAGGAAGCTCTATTCTCAAGTAGATAATTGACTAGACAAAACGAGCCATCCACACAACAACTGTCTTTTCACATTCAGTTAGAATCAGGATTCGGGAAGGAAGCAACAGATAGATTACTTTCAATAGTGTTTACTGCGGTTGCGCGTCTTTGGAAACCTGTTTACCCTGTTACCCGTACCGTTTTTCTCGGCCCCCGCAGTCGAGTCCGGGACGCGGGGCTTCTGGGGCCCGCCCGGATACGGAATCCGGAACAGATCGATGTGCAAGTAGTCGCAGATTTCCTCGCACACCTGGTAACAGTATCTGACGAGGTCGATGGCCACCCAAATCTGAAAATATTGGTGTGATTATTCATCGATCATCAGATATCTCAAAAAACATGATAGAGAACTGAAATTACTGTCAACCAATATTTCCGAGGGCAGTCATTCTAAAATTTTTCAATTTTCGTTTTGGAGTTTTTACTGGGAATACTCTAGGATATAAGAAAATTCATTTTTTACGGCTATAACACAAGATTGCTCTTGTTATACGACGCTATACCTATATTATAGTGGAGTATACTACGGCCTTGCCAAAAATGCTATCTCGGAAACTAAGCGAGATATAGGTATTGTTACTTTGGAGAAAATGATCCCCATCGAATTTTGAGCAACTTTGGTTTTTGTGTGTGGTCTGTCTGTCTGTCTGTCTGTCTGTCTGTCTGTACTCTGTGTTAATCATAAATCGATATATCTCCGGAACCCTTTGACATATCGACTTGAAATTTTGCCATCTTATTGTACTCAAAACAATATTATGTCATTAAAATATGAAGGAAATCGGAAAACTCTAAGGTGGTTTTTCCGGGTTTTTTCGATTTTTCACCGAAAGCACACCGAAAAGCACACTCGACTGTCTTGATTTTTTTTCCCATAAACTACGTACCTAGCTCACTCTACTGTCTTTAATTTTGCCAATAAACTAGGTACGGGCTAAGTACGTAGTTTGTACGAAAAATCTCCAGTATACACATCATTGGTGCCCAATGATAGTTTCAATATAAAAATATGCTCATGATATGGTGCCATGGCCTCTACTTCCATCTTACATGAGCAATGATAAAATATCATCTGCTTTTATAACGTCGTATGAATTATCTGACCTTTATACTAATCTGATACCTTTCGAAAACTACGTACCTCACTTGTCCGATCGATTTCATTTTTTGTGAAAAAAAACTCTATCAGGGAGAGACGAAGCCTATTGAAATTGAGCAGGGTCGGAAAATTCCAAGTGGGTTTTTCAAGGAGATTTTCCGAAACACACGGTTCGCTTTAAAACGACATATCTCCTGAACCAATGACTAAATCCAAATTTGAAAAATGCACCGTATGCCTCTTTGATGACGCAACAAATGATTATATTACCATTTTTTCGTGCATCCATCGGAAAATGGAAAAACAAATGAAAATCAAAACATCAAAATTTGAAATCCTTTCAATTCAATATATATCAAAAACAAATGGAAAAATCGAAAATTATCAGAAGTGCAAAGTTATCCACTGGAACGCAACAAATGATTATATTACCATTTTTTCGTGCATCCATCGGAAAATGGAAAAACATATGAAAATCAAAACATCAAAATTTGAAATTCTAGTAGAGAGTAGAATCCCGCTGTTATTGATTGACAAACTAAAAAGAAGTAGAAATAAAATAATTAAAGTTTTCTGATAAAAATGTATCTACAATTTTTTTTCTAGAAATGATGGCAAAACAACGTTTGCCGGGTCAGTTAGTTGCTTATAATTTATCAACTGAATAATTTAAGGCTATATTATGATCAATGCTTCAGTTATATTGACCGACTCACCAAACACAGCCACAAAATGTAGTATTCATTGATAAAGGTGTTGAAATACTGGTTCAAAAACAACATTGCTGGTCCCATCAGAGACCAATCAATGTATTCCATTTCACTTTTCGTCATGTGGGCGACCTGAAATACCAATCATATTGAAAATATTGATAAATAAAACTACGCTATTTTCAACTTACCACCAATCTGTTGGTGACCTTGGCAGCGACCAATCCGAAAGATAAAATATATAAGGCTGGGTGGTTCTGATAGATGTCTTGAGTGGACTTTTTGTATATTATGAAAGCTGGTACCAAAACTAAAGTGAATGGTATTATTGGAGATAGAACGCTCGTACCCTGTCGAATCAAACAAATCATCACTATATAAATCCAAAATCGATGACATATTTCAACAAGAATAATTATTTATTGAGTATCAACGTACTAATATAACAAAATCAAAATGAATTCAATTTCAAAACTGTTCAGTAGAAGTGATCTTTGAGATAGTCTGAATGAGTAACTGACTACCCTCTACAGTTCAATTCAAGAACTCAAATACTGATACAGAATCAGAAGAAAGCATTGAGTAAGTAATAATATAGCGAATTCCATAGGAATGAACTAGGGAAGTGTTTCTGCACTCAAAGTAAAGTATATGTATAAACCTAACAAAGATGGCTACAGACATTTTAGGGCTTGGGTTATACAGGGTGATCCACGGTGGATGGCCTATTAGAAGTATCTGGAGAGCGAAAAGACAGAACATTCTGAAAATTGGGATGCTTTGATAATTGAACATTCTCTATCCGTCTAAAATATATTCATCGATACAGTGTTGCCACCTCTATCAGAAACAACTAGCAACTTTGTTATTTCATATGGAACACCCTGTATTTTATTGCATTTTTAGGTTCTTCCAGAAGTGCTGATTTCATCAATGCATCACACTTGGGGTCTAGCAGGAATTATTACAGAGATATAGGGTGTTCAAAATCGAGATTTTTCAATTTTATGATTTTTTTAGTGTCGAAACTATTCATTATCGATCAAAACGGCTTACATGTCCCTTTCTTAATTCTTGGTTCACTATCTACTGGAATTTTATTGGAAAAAATACAGAGTACTTCAAGATTCAGAATTCTGATCACCCTGTATCTGTTCCAACTAAATGTCGGTAAATAGTGAATCGAGAGTTAAGATAGGGACATGTTACCCGTTTTGATCGATAATGAATAGTTTCGACACATAAAAATCCTAAAATTGAAAAATCTCGATTTTGAACACCCTATATATCTCTCTATAATCATTCCTGCCAGACCTCAAGTATGATACATTGATGAAATCAGCTCTTCAGGAAGAATCTGAAAATGCAATAAAATACAGGGTGCTCCATTTAAAATGACGAAGTTGCTAGTTGTTTCTGATAGAAGTGGCAACACTGTATCCATGAAAATATTTTAGACGAATAGTGAATGTTCAATTATCTAAGCATCCCAATTTTCAGAATGTTCTGTCTTTTCGTTCTCCAGATACTTCTAATAGGCCATCCACCGTGGATCACTCTGTATAATGCTCTACCAGGACCTCAGGAAGTCAGGAAATGGAAAATTTTTCGAGAGACAACTCAAAATGTTTATTTTAGAGAAGTGTCCATATTCTGTGAGCGAATTTATGTGTTCTGTCCTATATCTTGTAACCTGTGATCGACTGGATCGATAAATATGACTATGACTATGTTTCCTTCTTACTCGCTTGTCTTAAACAAAGATAAATATACACTCAGTGTAGAAACACCCCACAAGTTCCTGCCAATGGTATTCGCTGATAGTTTCTATGTTTTTTTAAAGCAATCTATTGAATAAAATGAAGAGTAGTTCCATTTTTAATGATATGGACATTGACAAAACAATAAAAAAAAAGATAAACGGCACATGCACTGTAGAAAATGTTGGGCAAGCAAAAGATGAGGCTACTGAACGTACTCAAGTCACAGCTTCATCTAGTGAATATCGTAAAAAAAAACGAAATGAAATAATTATCATTTCCATGCTGTTCACTAATTTATCTGATATTGAATAAAAGTGCAGATATTTGTGGGCAAGCTAAAAACAGGAGAAAAATGAGACACAGAATTACAAACATCAAGGTGAGGAAGAAGAATCGTGATTTCTGGGATTTGGATGAGTGGTCCTTCTAGAATTTCAAAATGTTCCTAGCAAACATTGACTAGTTTTCTTCGTTTGCATCCAAACACCATAGATACTACATTAAGACAAAAGAATAACCAAAAAAATATTCTTCAAAATCATGAAATAATTCAAAATAGCTTTTTCATTCATGTACAGGGTATCCCAATTTGGGCACTTTTGCGGGGTATCTCCCTTATCAGTAAAGATAGAGCATTGCGGTTTTCGCGACAGTGTGCTACTTTTTTATGAAATTAATAATGGTGCAAGCAGAATTGTGATAGCTCTTCCGGTTGTCGAGATACAGGGTGGAATTGAAAAATATCACTTTTCAGTCTCAGTTATCTTTGAACTTATCGAAGAAGTTAAAACTTGTTTTTATAGAGTTTTTCTCGTAGAATCCAGTGGCGTAGTTATTTTTTCGCTAGCACCTTTTGTTTTTTAGTTATGGAGCAAACATATGTTTTTTTAAATGGAAAATAATTGCATACAATTATATATTTTTTGGAAAGCCCACTTCATGCTCAATGTATATATGAAATAATATACAGGGTGTTCCATTTAAAAAACATATGTTTGCTCCATAACTAAAAAACAAAAGGTGCTAGCAAAAAAATAACTACGCCACTGGATTCTACGAGAAAAACTCTATAAAAACAAGTTTTAACTTCTTCGATAAGTTCAAAGATAACTGAGACACGGAGGGTGCCTGAAAAGTGATATTTTTCAATTCCACCCTGTATCTCGACAACCGGAAGAGCTATCACAATTCTGCTTGCGCCATTATTAATTTCATAAAAAAGTAGCACACTGTCGCGAAAACCGCAATGCTCTATCTTTACTGATAAGGGAGATACCCCGCAAAAGTGCCCAAATTGGGATACCCTGTACAGCCCAAATTCATTTCTCTGGAATACCTGACACTTACATTGACATTATTCATCCAATTCAATATTAATCACCGTTAATAGGAATGTAAATTGTAAACCATGTGAAGCCAGAAATTCACGATACTTAAAATACATTTATGTGCATGGAGAACTAGCTAAAATCTCTTACACAAGGGTATGTCTCCAAACAGCCCGAATGTTTCTTATTCTGACACATACGCGGCAAAGAGAAAATAAACTATTCTAATCTAGTTTTGGATAATTACTCAAAAAGCGTGTATGGAATTTTTCATATTCAATACTACTTGTTGGCAGCCAACTTCAGAACTTCAGACACTCAGCTATAGGTCGCGTGTACGATGACCCACCCTGGTGGTAAAATATTGAAACACAATCTCACTTTCCTGTAAAACATTGAAACACAACTTCACTTTTTTTATTTATTCACAGAGGAATCAAAGGATTGAAATAGTTTTTCACAATATATTAGCAAACGAACGTGTTTTTTGCGCTTTTCATTCATTCAAGCATGCCTTCTCATTGTGCTGTTATACGTTGTACGATGCACAAAAATGCAGCGAGAGACGAAGGAATATGATTCTTCAGAAGGAAGTCGACCTAGTATGGGTTCCGGGTCACAGGGGGGTGCCCGGGAACGAGGTGGCCGACAAGCTGGCTAGAATCGGATCCGCGACACCGTTCTGGGGACCGGAGCCTGCACTGGGCATAACAAGAAGCCAAACTTCGTCTGCCCTAAACAAATGGGCGGACGAGGCACTAGAAGGATATTGGAGACGTATAGGCGGCTGCAGGCAATCGAGAGACCTGGTGGCCGGTCCAAGCAAGCCAAAGACGGCTTGGTTACTGGGCAGGGATCGCCAAGTCCTGCGCCTTCTTATAGGGATACTGACAGGGCACAACAGGTTACGCAGACACCTATCACTCATAGGTGTGGAAGACAGTCCCACTTGCCGTGAATGCGGAGAAGATGAGTAGACATCACTTCATTTCCTCGGAGAGTGTGAGGCGTATGGAAGGATGAGATTCGAAATCTTTGGAGTAGATAAACTACAACAGGAAGATTTGGTCGAATTAGAGTGGACGGACATCCTGACCTTCATCAGAAGGACGGGAAGGTTCGAAAAGGACAACTAAAAGAGGGATGTGTAGATATGTGGAGAGCAGGGGTTGTCAAAAAGGGCCCATGGGGGACTACTTGCCTGGCTACAGCCTCCCCACAATACTACTACTACTAGTTTTCATCATGAAATTTTGTCATTTCTCATTGAAATTGCATCTGCCACTTCTGCAATAGAAGCCAATACCTAATAGATTGAAAATGTCTACAACACACGATCATATTTCGTCAGCATGTCAGACCAGTCCTCCCGTTTGATTGCATGAATCCAATCTTTTTGCATTATTCTAGAAATTTCACGAGTATTTTAATTAGCTTCTATTCCAGAAGGAATTCCGATGTGAAATCAGAAAAATTACCAAATGTCATAATGAAAACTATATGTGAGTGATTCCTTCGTCTCTCGCTGCATTATTTGTGCATTGTAGAACAGCCCAATGTGATGGCATGAGCGAATTGATGAATAGCCGTATGCAAAATAATTGTGAAAAATTATTTCAATCATTTGTAAACAAATAAGAAAAGTGAGGTTATGTTTCAATGTTTCACCTCCAGGGTCGGTCATCTGACAGTTCTTCCAGGCAACCCATTCAGCCAGCTGTTTTGTTAGGTTAGAAATCTGTCTATTTTCTCTGAATATTTATTGAGGAAGATTGAAAAACGGTTGGAGACAGAAATGGTTATTGTATTATATATTTCTTCTTCCACCACTACCAATAAAACCTAGCATTATTTACTACCAAGATAGTTTTAGTCATTTAATGAACAACTAGTCGATAAAGACATAGCTCTGTTATAATTAACACGTATCTACTGTTCTATGATATCTTTATAAGTAAAAATGGTCGATTCAAGTTCTGATTTCCCAAGTGATATTGAAAAAACAAGACCAAAATGCACTATTCTCTTCGTCCATCCATATTTTTATTACATAACTGGTGTTGATATGAACATTTCATCACTAGTTATGTAATATTCTACTTTACATAACTGGTTACGTAAAGTAAGACATTTTTACGCTACAAATTGAAATGGATCATCAATATCAGACACTTAGGAGTGGAAAAAATGAATGTTTCTCCAAATGACATTAAAAGTGACACCTAACAGGCAGAAAAGGTGTACTTTTACTGCCTAGGC